TATGGCCTGTATGTTCCAGGAATGTTTTGGGGAGATAGACATATGCGCAGGGAATGAAGCTGAAGCCCACAGGGACCGGGGGCCGGGGAGGGAGTCAGGCATTCTGGGAGAGAAGGGAGCACAGTGGGAGGTGAGAGAGAGCACAGGCAGATTGCAGTCCAGGACAACCTCCCAGCATTTTGTGAATTGCAGAGGGGAATGGCTTGCTTCCTATAGCATCCCAGTCCCCTTCTTTGGACCTGGGTGTCCCATGGAGACCAACTGTTCTGCCATCTTGGAGCTAGAGGAGCTCCAGTGCTAACAGTCTTGTCTTTAGAGCTCAACCCTTTTTCATGTGGAGGCAGCATCCGTGAAGGGTGGTCATGTTCTCCAGCAGAATAAAGAGCCTGCGTCTCTGTTGGCTACCTGAGGACCACCTCCTAACAGAGTAGCAGAGGTCTCATTCCCCTGTGGCTGCCTGGAGCGTGGGGGCTCTCTGGAACCTGCAGGCAGCTCTGGCAAGGGCAGATAAGTCTGGGGAAGAAAATGAAGCAGCTTATACAGAGGGGTGGCCGGGTAGAGAGGAAGCTGAGATTTGTTAGATGAGCACTGAAGAGCTGGGGGTTCCTAAGCAGGAAAACGACCACTTTGGGCAAAACTATATAATCAGATTAGATTGGGTTGGTGTCAGCAAAATTTAGTGGCACTGCACAAACCATTTAATCACTCCAAGCCTTGGTTTCTACAAAGAGCAGGGGCTCAGGCCCTGGTGGCTCTGTGTTCTGGATGGCTCTGGACAGCTGGGAAAGATGGGTCTGCAGATATTTCTCCCCAAAAGTTTGTATCTGCTCATGTGGTTCAAAGGCTGACGGCATGGAAAACTGTGCCAGTTAGGGAGAAATTAGAAAGGAGTTTGAATCGAAAATTAGGGAGAATTTAGATGGAGAAATGGATGGAGAACCCATTGTTTTCTTATTTAACATTGAAGATGAAAATGGAGATGCGGCTTGTATATTTTAGCTTTAGCTAAGTATTCCAGGTCCTGAGAAAATGTTAACCTTCAACTCCACATTGCTCTATATTACCCTGACTAATGTGACTCAAGGTCCCACCTCTCTTTCCCAAGCCCTGTGCTCTCTGAGCATCACCAGATCCCTGAGTGTCTTCCACTTCCTCTGTGACCTTCCACCACCATCTGTCCTCCACCAAGACCTGCTGTTGCCCGAAGAATGCGGTTTCCCTTACTGCCACTTACTCCCTGGACCTCAGGTGGGGACTGGGGCTGCGGCTCTCCTTTCCCTCCACTTCTCTTTCCAGAATATTTTCCCCATCCCTGCAACCCCCAGAAAAGACCCCCATTTTTGAAGTTCCTATTGTCCAAACATACTGCCCCTCATTGCTGTCATCTGGCTTCGCATTCTCTGTCACTCTCTGTGGTGATCACCATTCCTGGAGACTTCACTACCGACCTGGCTCAAGCATCCTGCACCCTAGAGTGTGTTCCCTCACGTCCTCAATCTTTCCCTCTTCCTCAGCTCCACTGCCATGGTCACAGCCTGAGCCTTGTCAACCATAAGAGCCGCACCACCATTAGGACCACAAGGAGGCTCATCTCCCACTACCTGGGATGACAACCTGGCATCCTGGCCTCCTCCTTTCTCCCTTAGCTGACTTTCTTCATACTGAGGTGAAAACAGCTCTTGAAGGAGATGCTGCCTGTCCTGTTACCGTCAAACCTCTACCCTCTCTGGATTGGCCCTGTCCTACTTCTTTCTACCACAATTGTGACAGTGTCTCTCCACATGTGCCCTGGACCCTCCAACTTCCTCACAGTCTTCGCTTCTCTAATAATCGGTCCCTTTTTCCTGCATCTTCTTACGAGTCAGTTTACTGACATCCACCATTTTCTTGACCTTAATCTCCTTGCATCTCACCTTTTTTTGTGGGGGGAGGGGTGTACCGGGAATTGAACTCAAGGGCACTCAACCACTGAGCCACATCCCCAGCCCTATTTTGTATTTTATTTAGCAACAGGTTCTGAGTTGTTTAGAGCCTTGCTTTTGCAGGGGATGGCTTTGAACTCACGATCCACCTGCCTCCACCTCCCAAACCACTGGGATTATAGGCATGTGCCACCTTGCCTGGCTTTTTCTCATTTATCTATTTATTTTGTGGTGCTGGGGATTGAACCCAGGGCCTTGCACATGCAAGGCAGGCACTCTACCAACTGAGCTATGTCCCCAGCCCTTACACTCTTCTTAATCTTTTTTCTGGTTCAGTAATATAAACTCTTAGGAATCATCCTTGATTCTTTATCTTCCAGCATGTGATCCATTTTCAAGACCTGTTGGTTCTATCTCCAAAGTGAATATCCACTTATATTATCTTGCTTATTACCACTCTGGTCTAAGTCAACATCTTCTCTAGAATCAACTACTGAAATAGTCCCCTAATGATTTCTGATTCTCTTCTTGCTTCCCTAAAATCCAATCTCCATCTTGTGACCAGATGAGCTTTATACAATATATGCTGGTACCATTCCTTTGCTTAAAGCCTGCAGTGGCTCCCTGTGGCATATGAACTGGTCCCTGTCCCATCTTAGGCTCATTCACATTTTCTTTTTGCTTCTTGAGGGAACTTAAGTCTCTTTCCCCAGCCCTATTTTGTGTTTTATTTAGAGACAGGGTCTCACTGAGTTGCTTAACGCCTTGCTTTTGCTGAGGCTGGCTTTGAACTCAAGGTCCTCCTGCTTCAGCCTCACGCTCGGCCTTGGGGGAACATTCTTGTCTGAAAGCCTTAGTATGTGCTATCCTGCCTGGAATGTTTTGCTTTTCAGAATTTTCAGTCCTTGTCATCTATTTGCTTTTGGATTTAACAGCAGCCTTTCCAGGCAACCTATATAATAAGGTCTCCTTGTTTCTCTTCTATCATTGCATCATGTTCATTTGGGTGTGGCCAAACCCGTCTCAATTCATGACTGACATATTTGTATGCTTACTTGTTTACTTGTTTCTTTCATGAGTCTGTGTTTCAGGAGGACAGAGATTAGGTTTCAAGTGCCTCGCAAGTTGTTTGGTAGCAAGGAGGAATTCTATGAATGAAATAATGAACCAACAGGGAAGAGAGGTAGCGATGGGGTTTCATTGAGAAAGCTGTGGCTAACTCTTCACCTGATGGAATCTTTTCTTTCCTTATCCAAGACAATTTGGCATAAAAATAGTTCTTTACAAGTGCAGGATCTAACAGTTTTGAGTTCAAATGTGGGTGAATTCCTGTTGGATTCTATTGGGAAGCTACCGCCATGAGCACTCTATGTATCGGCTACCTTGTATCTAATATGACTTGAATATAAAAATAAGAGGCAGTATGATGCAGTGTCAAGAACACAGGCCTGAGAGTATGGGCTTAGCTTCTGGTCTTTGTTTCATACTGGCTTATTATATTCAAAGACTTTGCATGTGAAATAAAAAAGGTTGGACTAGGGCTGGGGTTGTGGCTCAGCGGTAGAGCACTTGCCTAGCACCTGTGAGGCACTGGGTTCGATCCTCAGCACCACATAAAAATAAATAAAGGTATTGTGTTCATCTACACCAAAAAAAAAAAAAAAAAGTTGGACTAGAAAAAAAAAAATCTCTCCAGTTAGTATGCTTTGGGCTGCAGATAACTGAATACCTAACAGTGGTACAAGCAATCAAGATATTATCTCTTAAAACAAGAGAGTGGGGCTGAGGTTGTGGCTCAGCAGTAGAGCGCTCACTCGCCTAGCACATATGAGGACCTGGGTTTGATCCTTAGCACCACATAGTGAGTCCAACTACAACTAAAAAAATAAATATTAAAAAAAAAAACCAAGAATGTGGATCTATGACGTTTCTGGGGTTGGTCTAGTTATTCAAAGATGTCCTCAAGGAGCTAGGTTCTTCCCTTCCTTCTACTTTGTCTTCAGGCTTGTGCCTCAGGATCACAAGGTGGATGCTGTAGCTCTGGGCATCATACCCCCTACAAGGATATCAGAAGCAGAAAGAGAGAGGCATGCAGGTAGAGCTTCTTTTATGTGTCTTTCTCCTTTTATTAGGAAATACAAGCTTTCCTGGAGGTCCCCTAGCAGACTTTTATGTCTCATTGGTCCAAACTATCTCACTGTCAACCTCAGACTAATCACCAACAAGAGAATGAAAGTGCCATAATTTGTATATCCCAAATAGAATCCATCTGCCAGGGTTGACCTGTAATCAGCTGTGCTCAACTCATTATAGCTGAGTCTTGAAAAGGGCAGGGCTGGGGAGTGGGCTGCCTCACGGAGCTGGATCCTGTGATTCCAAGTGCTTGGCCTTTAAGTTTCTCTGTTATCCTACAGGGACTAGTTGTGTTATTCACATCTTTGGTGAGGCAATGGCAAGGAATAAGATTTTTAATTTTATTTAAAAGAAAAAAATTTTTTTTTAGTTGTCATTGGACATAATGCCTTTATTTATTTATTTTTATGTGGTGCTGAGGATCGAACCTGGGTCCCGCCCACGCTAGGCGAGCGCTCTACTGCTGAGCCACAATCCCAGCCACCAGGAATAAGATTTTTTAAAGGAAGGCTTTACTTTCCTGAATAATGAAAGAAGCAGAAAGGCTTGGAAATAGATTTACTGGCCAAGAAAGATTCAGTGAGCAACTGAGCCTAGCAGGTCATTTATAGTATAGGCCCACAAATGAGGGCCTTTACTATAAAAAGAGATTAGAGATTACTGTGAATTACAAGGTACCGGGGGTGGTGGTTTACGCCTATAACCCCAGTAACTAGGGAGGCCGAGGCAACAGGATCATAAGTTCAAGGCCAGCCCCAGCAACTTAGTGAGACCCTGTCTCAAAAATAAAAAGGGCTGGGGTTGTGGCTCAGGTTCGATTCCTAGTCTCACACACACACACACACACACACACACACACACACACACACACACACACACACACAGTATGAGGCCAAGACCCCAGTAAGCAGTATTACTAGTAAGCAGAATCTTTCAGATAACGAATGAATATAAAATGACCATTTTATTAAGGAGGCACTGTGTTAGGTCTGGGAATCCCAGTACAAAGGGACATGGTCCCGGTCCTTAGGAGACTGACATTCTGATTGAGGCAAAACATATGTAATAGATAAGCAGGCTCTATTATAAGTGTGTGTCTGGGACCAGAGTGAAGTATCCACCTTTTACCAAAGAAGTGATTAGGAAAAGAAGTGATCACTGAAAGACGAATAGGTCTTTTGGCTGTTGTTGAGGACAGCATGATTCAGAAAGGAACCATCAGTTAGGAAAGGCAGGCACCGTAGAGGCGGTCCGAAGGCCTAGAGGGCTCTGCAGGCCCCGCTGAGAGAGCTTTGCCCTGCAGGCAAAGTAAGTTGGATATTTCTCATAGACAAGTCTTAAGATACCGTGAATCAAGTTAGTTTCTAGTTTCCTCCCTCCCAAGAGGTTACAGAAAAATTTTATTTCATTTAGTTAATGCATTACATTGAGTACAATTTATACATTACATAGGTATTATGGGCCAGTTACTAGTATTTCCAAATTTTTATCAAATCCACTGCTAGCAGTGCTCTACAGAGAGGATATTGCTGGAACTTTTCTTTGCCAGCAATTTGTAGAGATACTCGGAAATGATCCTGCACATTGTCTGAAGCAAACTACCTGTATTATTTGTGGGAGAAAGATTATTGCTTAGAGCCACAAGCAGTGCCACCTCGTACCAGGGACTCCAGTGTTCATTTCCTTATGCCTGTGTTTAAGTGTCACCTCATCAATGAAGCCTCCTTTGACCAATCCCTTGAAAACTTCTGTCCCTGCCAGTCCTAACCTTCCTCATTGTGCTTCTTCATTTTTTTATACCACATGCATCTCCATACTATTTATTCATTATTTCCCCTGCTAGGATGTAGGTCCCTTCACCTTTAGCAGAGTTGGGATTTGTGTGTTCTTTTCACTGGTGTTATCTCAACTACCTAGAGCAGCATCTTACAGAAGACTTAGATTAAAGATTGGTACTTAAGTCATGACAGTTACCCCTTAAAGGTATCTATACCTCGTCATGGTCCTTTGTCACTTAATAGAAATGAATGAAAATCTTACTAACAAGCTCTGCTTATACTTGCTTGTCTCTCTCATTGTGAGTACTGGCCATGGTGCTCTGGTGGGTGAACCTGACAGGCTTTTAGGGCGGAAGGGCCATGGAATAAAAGCAGAGGTGAGCTCTCGGGCTTTGGTTGCAGAGTACTGTAAATTGACCATATCAGATGATGTTTTTTGAATAGGTATAAGAGTTTGGTCACCGGGACCCGAGCAAGAGGAGTCATCGCAGTGCTCTGGGTCCTTGCCTTTGGCATTGGATTGACTCCATTCCTGGGGTGGAACAGTAAAGACAGTGCCACCAACAACTGCACGGAGTCCTGGGATGGAACCATGAATGAGAGCTGCTGCCTTGTGAAGTGTCTCTTTGAAAATGTGGTCCCCATGAGCTACATGGTGTACTTCAACTTCTTTGGATGTGTCCTGCCCCCACTGCTCATCATGCTGGTGATCTACATCAAGATCTTCATGGTGGCCTGCAGGCAGCTGCAGCGCATGGAGCTGATGGACCACTCCAGGACTACCCTCCAGCGGGAGATCCATGCCGCCAAGTCCCTGGCTATGATTGTGGGGATCTTTGCTCTGTGTTGGCTACCAGTACATGTCATCAACTGTTTCACTCTTTTTCAGCCAGCTCAGGCTAAGGACAAGCCCAAGTGGGCCATGAACATGGCCATTCTCCTGTCACATGCCAATTCAGTGGTCAATCCCATGGTCTATGCCTATCGGAACCGAGACTTCCGCTATACTTTTCACAAAATCATCTCCAGGTATGTTCTCTGCCAGGCGGATGGCAAGAGCGGGAATGGGCAGGCTGGGCCACAACCTGCACTCAGTGTGGGCCTATGACCCAGGCTCTGGCCTCTTGGAGGCCAAAGCCTCCAAAGGATAGGATACGATTGACTGATCCTGTGAAAGACAGCTACACCTCCCAAGCATCTGGGCTCTCTTCTGAGCACTTGTCTGGAGTTACCACATATCTAGCTAATATGTACATGCTGTTAGTAGACTCTAAGTGTCAACAAATGTATTTATGATTGTTCAGCTGCTCTTATTGTGTGGATGATGCCGATGGCTTGAATGGATTCTAAAAGACTTTTATTTTTGAGTCTGCCTGATTCATGGAAGAAAATGACTGAAACTCTTTTACTGTGAATACTGTGAACTATTTTAATGCAAATATTTTTTAACTTAAAGGCAATGGAAGAATAAAAAGTTGGTTGTTCTAATGTAAACTTGTTCCCAGAAAGGCTACCAAGAATACTAAAAATGTAATTCTTTAATCAAGAAACTGCTGTATTAATCTGGGGATGATAGTCTCCTAAATTCTTAAGCAGAATTATCATCAAGTAACAATTTTAGGCTCCATTCTATTCTATATACAACTGTACTCTAGAGGAAGAACCTGGACAAACAGGGTTCCCTCCTCTACTGGATTCCCCCTTTTAGAGCTAGGTACTGAATTTTATTTCTCTCCTAAGTTCAAGTTTGGCAAAACTGTTGGAACTCAAGAGTGTGAGAATTTTCCTAAGCAAAATCATGTAATTGTGTATGTATATTCAGTGAAATAAAACTTTTATTTTAAAAATTAGCTTAGAATGCTGTATTACCTTGCTCACAGGTATAGCCATTGTCTATGATCTGAAGGGTGCTTTGTAAGGACAGGCTAATACTCTTTGTATGTTTCTGAAGTAGCAAGTCTTGGTAGATTTTTTTATTTTTCTACACTGCAACATAATGAGACTCTGTCAACCACAACAGCACTGCAACTAGAATGGCCCTGGGCTTTCTGCAGCATTCATTCACTAATACCTTGTGTTTAGGGGGCCCAGGGATAAGGGGGTGTCCTAGGCTAGAAAATCATCTATTTTATCTGCTTATCCATTGCTTGCCTTTCCAGTAAAGTGCAGGTTTATGAACCCCTGCAGAGACCAGCCATCCTTGTCCCTCTCCGAACCTCTTCTAGCTGTTACTTTATTATTTATTTATTTGCTTTACTTATTAAGAAGTTCTTGTGCTGGGCTGAAGCCTGTCTCGTTTTCATCCTTATCCTACTGTTGCTCCTTGTTCTCTCTTGGGGTCCATCTGGGTCTCCTATCCACCCTCACCCTTTTAAAATTTATTCTTCAGACTCAAAATCCCTACTGGTATCTACAGCTTCTTTCCAGGACATGATTTGAAGTTTGTCCTTTTGTCTGTCCAGTTATAAGGCCCTGCTATACAAGCAGAATAAACCCAGCTCTGGCCTTGTTATAGAGGCTGCATCACTAGCAATACAGTCCACTTAAGCTGCTCTGGCATCAGAGCCACATATATCAGAAGGTGAGAATCCTTTCATATTTACTGTTGTTTGGCCATCTCTCTGCTCTGATCTTTTATTATTGCTGAGTAATTTTCTGGACCCCAGGAAAAGAACCAATACCTGTTCATCTAAACTTGCTCCAACTCAGTTTGACCAGCCACCCTTGCCTTTAAAGAATTACTACTAATTCAGTCACTTAAGAAGCTAACTAATTGTGGACACAGCATGTTACTGGACTTTATTTCAGGTTACAATGCTTAATTCCATCCAGGGACATTTTTTTGCCCAAGTGGCTCAGAGGCTGATTCAGGTTTTTCATGGGAAGATGTCACAGGCTCCAAACCATATTCACACTCTCCCTAGCCCACAGCTCCCAGAGTTCGTCCTGCAATCCAGGATGAAAAGGGAGAGTAACACAAGTCTCTGGAAGATCCATTTCAATTCTTTTCCTTGAGAACCATGACAGGTTGAATGCATTTCTCCATAGGATTTCTATTTTGAAAGACAATGATATTCCATCTGTACTTTTTAAGCTTCTTGTTTCTTCTCTATCAATAACATGTCTGTCAGTTGTTTGTCAGAGACACTTAACTGCTGACAGGTCCTCATAACCTGACTAAGATAAACTGCCAAGAGATGCTTACACTGGAACACAAAACATAAAGACATATTAGGAACAAGCAGGGCTGTGACTGGCTAGTCTACTTCTCCTACCATCATATGAAAGGAAAAGGAAGTTTGCTGTGCTTTCAGTTAGGTTCTTCCTTCCTTTTAGAAAGGAAGGCAATGGCTAACATTCCTCGAGGTACTATGTTGTTCAGTGTTTCTCGGATTATCTCACTTATCTGACAGCTACCCATGAGGACAGGTATTAACTCCATTTTAACCATATGCTCAGAACCTATAGTCTATTCACTTAACCACTGTTATATACTTCAGGGGCAGTGCTGAGGGTCAGGGAGGAGTTGTGGTAGAACTCTGGCATATCCCAGCCTGTCTGCTACTCTGGGGAGATGATGCAGTTGGACCTATGTCACAGAACACAGCTTCAGATCTTGAAGAGGTCCTCATTTAATCCTGTTATTTTATAGGTGATATATACTTATGGTACATGAGCTATGAATGTGGCCTCTTGAACAATGGGACACCCAACTTGGCATCCAGTTCCCAAGATGTTTAAGAAGTTAACAGAGTAAAATGAAGGGAAGAATGCGGATATGCCAGACTCCATTATCTTCTTTGCCAAGACTGAGAAATAGTGACCTTCTCCCAAGAGGCGATAAGGAGTGTGTGAATATGTCCTGCTCTTGCTTAATGCTCTGGACTCCGAGGGAATCAGATTGAGAGGGACAGACAAAAGGCATTCCTGCCCCTTGTGAAGGTTGAGTGTAGCACCAAGCTGTCTTACAGGTAGGAGGAAGCCACACCTCATGGCTGGAGTTGGGGTTATACAAGTTGCCAACATACAATTAGCTTCAAATTTTATTGGACCATCTATGTTCCCAGTGCCAACTTCCAGGACTGCCTTTCTATCCTCCCCAAAGCTGTGACCTTTCAAATAAAAAAGCAAGAAACCAATGTAGTTCTATAAAGGACATTTTGGTAGGCTAAGCCTAAAAAAATCTATAAATAAATAAATAAATAAAAATCACTGAAGTCAAGGAAATAAATTATTTATTTTAATACAGTAAAACTGTCACTTTGTGGCTTGGCATGTTGGCACATACTGGTAATCCCAGCTACTTGTGAGACTAAGGTAGTATGATTGCAAATCCATGGTCATTCTGAGCAACTTTGCAAGATCCTATCTCAAAAAGGGCTGGGAGTGGAGTTCAGTGGTAAGCACCTCTGGGTTCAATCTCCAGTACTGGAGGAAAAAAATAAATTCCCATTTTGTGCAACTTTTAAACCATTAAATAAGGGCTAGCAATTTATCTCCTAACCTAACTGCGGTGGCAAGAGCCTTCCCCATCCTTACCAGTAGGCTTTCACTCTTTCGCAGCACTGAGAAGGCAAATGCAGGACACGAACAGTAATGACAAGAAGCCATACATGTGTATGTTTTGCCAGAACTTCCTAGTACCTAGGAAAAAAGGATAGATAGATCAGCTCTCAGAAGGTGTGCTTCTGGGTGCCATCTCTTTCCCTTTAACCATTTAATGATTCAAAGTCTCTGCAAACTGCACTGGAAAGAAATGCAGTACTATTTTACATAGAAGGGGAAACTCAACTTCTTTTCCTGGAGCATGCAAACTGCTCCTTACCTCTCAGTTCTCACCCTTTAGGACAGTGGAACTGAAGAGTTTCAGGCTAGTTCAACCATCCACACAAACCATTTGTTCCTATACTTAGTGATTCATAGGGCCTACTCCATGTGCTGACTATCAAGGTGTGAAGGGGAAATCTCATTTTATTGTGGGGTTTCTTAACATTTGGTATTTCACAGCATGTATGTAAGTTTCTGAAGCTTCCACCACATACCTGAAAAGAGTGAAAACAGGTACAGAGTGAGTGGTTGGGCAGGAAGCAAGATAGGTTTCAGAAGAAAGTAGAAATGGGCTTTTGAAAAACATTTGAGGGTGGAGAGAATATAAAGAATCCTGCAAAAGGGATGACTCAGCTGCTCAGGATGGAGGTCTCCGGAAAAGAGGCAAGCCCAGATCTGCTCACTCTTTTAGCAGGATGGAAGGAGGATGTAGATATATGTGGGGTTGTTAAGAGGCTCAGTCTAAGAACAGAAAGCTTTGGTGGCAGTCAAAAGAACACAAAGGACAGGTAAAGGGACAATCTGATCTGTTAGTGGTGTGACTGAACAAATTTAGTGTTGTATCCCCTCCCATGCCCTGTATTGGGGATTGAAACAGGGCTAGCAGGTGCTCTATCCCTGAGCTACAGCCTCATTCCTGACTGGAAAAATCTGTTGGAGGTCTTTTTTCCACCAAATAGTCAAAACCTTTTTGTTAGTTTACTGTAGTTTGGATCTTCAAAGGTATTACAGGCTTGGTTGCTGGTCTGTGGCACTACTAGAAGGTGGCAAAATCTTTAGGAAATGGGCCTAGTTTGAGTAAGTTGGGTCACTGGGACTGTGCCCTTGAAGGGGATATTGGGACCCTATACCCTTCTTCTCTCTGCTTTCTGATTACTATGAAGTTAACAGGCTTCATCCACCACATATTCTTGCCATGTATATAATTTGCTGTCACAGGCCCAAAGCAACAGGACCAAGCAACCATGGATTGAAACCTCTGAAACTGAAACAAAATAAACCTTTCCTCTTTTCAAGTTGATTTATCTCAGATATTTGTTACAGTGGTGGGAGGCTAACAAAGTTTCATTCCTTAAGTTAATTTCCAAACTAGAAGATTATTTGTCAGAGGGCCTTCGGATTATATTTAGGCTTGAAGAGGCTTGAAGACACTAATCTAAATTTAAAAAATCACAGAACTTAAAAAAAAAATTCTTTGGTACCAGGGATTGAACCCAGGGGTACTCAACAACTGAGCCACTTCCCCATCCCTTTTTTTTTTTTTATTATTTTTTTTTTATTTTGTGATAAAGTCTCACCAAGTGATTGAGGCTGCCTTTGAATTTATGATCCTCCTACATCCTATGTCCCGAACTACTGGGATTACAGGTTTTTTTGTTTTTTTTTTTTTAAACTATACTGTCATATAATTTCCCATCCAAGGATCTTTTCTCTTTCTCCCCACAGAGAATTAAGCAACAGATAAGGCTTTAACCATAGCAGAAATAGCAGATTCAAATGTGTGTTTCTTTGTATCATGTGTTCACTGGTTCACATGATACAGCCATCTTTTTTGGGGTGGGGGTGGGAGTACTGGGGATTGTACCTATGGGGGCTCTACCACTGACATATACATCTCCAGCCCTTTTTTAAAATTTGATTTTGAGGTAGGATCTCACTAAGTTGCCCAAGTTGCCCTCAAACTTCCAATTCTCCTGCCTCAGCCTCCTGAGCAGCTGGGATTACAGGTGTGTGCCACCTCACCTGGTTGACACAGCCATCTTGGTAAAGTTTTTTGACAAAATCAGCAGAATTCCTTGGGGGTTCCTAGAATTCCAGGAATGGCCAATGATTGGGTAAGATGCCTGCTGTAACCATTAAAGATTTTAGCCTCGGTTTAAATTAGTTATTAAAACCACATCTTGGGGGCTGGGGATGTGGCTCAAGCGGTAGTGCGCTCGCCTGGTATGCATGAGCCCGGGTTCCATCCTCAGAACCACATACAAACAAAGATGTTGTGTCCGCCGAAAACTAAAAAAATAAATATTAAAAAAATGCTCTCTCTCTCTCTCTTTAAAAAAAAAAAAAACACATCTTGGGCTGGGGCTCAGTGGTAGAGTGCTCACCAAGCATGCGTGAGGCACTGGGTTCAATCCTCAGCACTACATAAATTTCCTATATGAACATATCTATCACCTACATCACTAAGTATGAACAGAGAAATTTACCTAGTGCATCTGGAAGGCTTAACTGAAGAAGGAAAATTAAAGCAGATTATTTCCTCCTTCATCCTAAAGAAAACGAACATCCAACAGAGACATGAATAATTCTTGGGTTTCCAAATTACTACCAAAGAATAAAACTTTAGAATTCTTCCTTTAGTTACCTCCTGTGTCTTTTCTCTCTAGAAATAAACTTACTCAGGCATAAGCCTCTGGAATTCTGCATCAACTTGAATGATTCAGTGTTTCCCTCTTATTGCAGGGCCCCTATCTATTAGAATACTTCCTGAACTATGTTGAAATAATGCCCGGTGACTTAAAGATGGGGATAAATTCTGCAGATGTTCCCTTGTCCGCTCCTTTCACAGGCTGGCTAAGACTCAAAGTAAAATGTTTAACTGCTAGAGGCAGTATGTACCGTACATAGCAGTGGACAACTAATGAACCCAATAATCAGGCAGAAATCTGAGTTAGAATTGTTTAGAACTGGAAATCGACCTTAGGGAAAATTTAATTTCTTCACCCTTCAATGAAAAATGACCTCCTCTTACAGGAATTGCTCCTAGTTCTTCCACTCAGAGTTTGGAATGTTTATCCTCAGAAGTGGTGTGATTTTTAAAAAATGGACATACATAGAAGAGGACACTCAGATTGGACTTGTAGGAACTTTGCTTGGAGGACTTCAGTTAGGTTCTAAAGAGGTGACCCACATAGATGGTCACACATTCATGGGTACAGCTTTATTTTATGCCCACTACAAGCCTCTTATGATACTTTGCAGCAGTAAGCTGTATTATTTCTCTCTGGAAAAAGGATTATACATTCCTGTTCTATTGAATACAGACTGGCTATGTGACTTGCTTCTTAGCCAGCAAAATATGAATAGCCAGGCAGAAATGTTAAAAATTATAGCACAACAGGCCTTCTTCTCTTTGAGTTCCACAATAGGGGTGGGTTTACTAACTAGGATTCCTAAGTGAAGGTGCCTGGGAGCAGAGCTGCAGTTGACCCCTGATGGATGTATAGCATGAATGAGATGTAAAACTTTGTTTCTTTAAAGCCTTTCAGATTTGGAGGTCATTGTTACTGCATAATTTTGCCACCCCTTCTCAAACTGAGCCAAAGTTTCTAAAAAGCAGCTCAGGTGATAGCAACAAAATGATGACTTTTAGAATAAGTACACATTACATCTGGTGGACAGTAATAATATTAGGGTTGACATATGGAATAAAAGTTCTCTTGTGGAAAGACAAGGCAGTGTCCAATTCAGCTTTTATCTTTTTACAACCCCCCCCCCAACTTAAACCAAATTCTTACTATAGTACTATACAATGCAACCACTAAGGTTAACCTGAGGGGTTATAAAGATTTCTTCAGACTCATTTAATTCAAATTCCAGGCTGATAGTCACAATTCTAGAAAGTTAGCGTTTTTTATGACTAACAAAGCAATGGAATGTAATATAGGATGTGAATGACAAAAACTAAACAAGTCACACTGAATACTGGAGGAACAAGACATCAGCAATAATTAAAATATTTTAAACAACTTGAACATTTTAATTAATGATCAGATCACAGAACTAGAGGTCAGCCAGACATCTGCTTGCCCAGGCTAAATGTTATGCTGATAATGGAACTGAGACCAAAATTCCAAAACTAAAAGACATGGGGAAAATGTGAAGGACCCCTCTAGTTTCAGGTATCTAAGTCACATAAAAACTAAATATAGGGGCTGGAGTTATGGCTCACTGGTAGAGCACTCGCCTAGCACATGTGAGGCGCTGGGTTCAATCCTCAGCACCACATAAAAATAAATAAATAAAATAAAGGTATTGTGTCCAACTACAAATAAAAAATATACATATATATTTAAAAAAAAAACCTAAATATAAAGCTGGGTGCTGTGGCACAAACCTGTAATCCCTGCGGCTTGAGAGGCTGAGGCAGGAGGATTGTGAGTTCAAAGCCAGCCTCAGCAAAAGCAAGGTGCTAAGTATTCAGGGAGATCCTGACTCTACATAAAATACAAAATAGGGCTGGGGATGTGGCTCAGTGGTTGAGTTGAGTGCCCCTGAGTTCAATCCCCAGTACTCTACCCCCGAAACAACAAACAAAACAAACATAAAATATCAGAAAAGATTACAGAAATACCTATTCATGTATAAATAATACATTTAGTGACTGAGTATATATCTGTAAGTTCACCATGTCAGAATTTCCTACTAGGCAGTCTCTTTTGAGTAGGAAAATACTATTCAATAGTTTTATCTATAGCATCCAACACTACTCTATTCTCCTTAATGAGGAAACACAGGATGACTCTGCCATGTCAAGGAAGTTATGCTATAATGAAGAATGGCAAGTGAATTCACTGAGCAAAGGCACCTATTTCTTTGCTGAAGTCATTCCCTTCCTAAGAATTAATTGATGTGGTCTCTCAATGAGAGTTAACTAACTGGTCTCAGCTCCGAGAAGTTATTTGTAAAAAAACCAAACAAGACAGAATTTAAACAATGAAAAAATTCTATTCTCGTGTTCTGGTCTTCAGCAAAGCCTGGAAAACAAATAAGAGCTGATGGCTTTGAAGCCAGACACAAAACTCTGAACCACTGCCAATATTTTTATTTCCTAAGAGTCCTTTCCCTAAGTTGGGTACAGTGGTGCATGCCTGAGACAGGAGGATCTTGGGTTCCGAGCCAGCTTCAGCAATGGCAAGACCCTAAGCAACTCAAGTGAGACCCTGTCTCTAAATAAAATACAAAATAGGGATGGGGATGTGGCTCAGTGGTTGAGTGCCCCCCAGTTCAATCCCCAGTACCAGGAAAGAAAAAAAAAAAAAAGAGTCCCTTAGCCCAACCCCAGCTGCTTTTACCTTTGTTTCACATAGCCAGGAGGAGTAACACTTTTGTCTGCCATTTATATAGTCTTTATTCTCGTCTCAGTTTATAGAACAGGCAATGTGAGGTAACCAGATACAACTATTACTTTACTTTTTTAAAAAGAATTTAGTTGTTGATGGATCTTTATTTTTTATTTATTTATATGCGGTACTGAGAATCGAACCCAGTGCCTCACACATGCTAGGGAAGCACTCTGCCACTGAGCCATAACCCCAGCGTGTTACTTTACTTTTCTTCATTTAAGTTTCCTACAGAAATATACTTTGCAGTCTTGTGGTGGGAATAATCAATAACACATGAAAGTAATTCAGAGTCTGATAAGAGGCTGCTACTTCACAAATCTATCTATCCCTATCATAAGCTTGAAGAGAGCAAAACTAAGGTCCAAGTAAACTGTATTCAGCAGTTTGACCCTTGATAAATATTTATTGACAACAATTTGAAAGATCATGACTATGAACAAGATATAAATATCTATAAATTTATGGGGAGGATGTGCCTCTATTATCAATGGTAAGAAAGCAAAAGTTGGGCTGGGGCTGTAGCTCAGAGGTAGAGCGTCCGCCTTGCAAGTGTGAGGCACTGGGTTCTATAACTAAAAAAATATTTTAAAAAATATTAAACTATACTCTATCAGACCTGACCAGAAAGGCTTTCTACATTATTGCTGGTACTGAAAATATTTCTTGGAAATATTTCTTTTAATTACTAAAATGCTTGGAGATAGTATATTAAATGAAACAAGGCAGACACAAAAAGATGGAATACTCAGTCATGATCTCATTTATATGTGAAATCAAAAACAGTCAAATTCAAAACTCAAAAAGGAGAAGAATGGTTACTAAGAGATTGAAGGATGGAGGAGATGGTGGTTCAAGGGCACAAGATTTCAGTTAGGCAGGAGGAATAAGTTCAGGAAATCTACTGTACAATATGATGATAACAGTTAACAACAATGAATTGTATACTTGAAATTTTCTAAGAGTAGATTTTAAGTTGGTTTCACTACAAAACAATAAGTATTTGAGGTAATGGACATGTTAATAGCCTGAATTAGTCATCCCACAGGTACACATATATCAAAACACCATTTATGCTATAAATATGCAGTTTTATCAATTTTGAATAAGTACATACACATTTTAAAAAATCACTAATATGTTAACTTTACTAAAATGGGTCAAAACCTTTTCAACAGTTAGGAAATACTTCAAGCTGGTTATCAGCTTCCAAAGAGACATGAAAACATTCTATCCTAAGGGTTTCTGTTGAGATTATCCCACTTCTGGACTTATTACCTGGTAAATGTGCCTTCCACTGGGCGATGAGATTAAAGTGATGGACTGTCGATCAACTAGGTCCAAGGCTTGAATGGCTGATGAGCCAAAGATAAACTTCAGCCTGGGAAATGGAGGCTTCAGATTAGAAGGGCTGATTGCCAGTCACCTTAGTAACTTGACCCAAAGGTTCACTATCCTCAGTACTTTCTTTTCTTTTCTTTCTTTCTTTATTTTTATGTGGTGCTGAGGATTGAACACAGGGCCTCGCACATGTTAGGCAAATGCTCTACCACTGAGCCACAATCCCAGCCCTCTTTTCTTTTCTTTTTTTTGACAGTGTTGGGGATCGAACCCACTTATGCATGCTAGGCAAGCACTCTACCACTGAGCTATCCTGCCCTCTTCATTCTCAGCATTTAAAAAAAATTCACTTTAATTTGGAAAAACAGGAAATAATATAGCAAAATCCATGGACTCATTTGCTCCCTAGAATTAATATATATTAATATTCTTGTTCATTTATTTCAGATGTTCTTTTTTAATAAAAGGAGTAACTTATACTGATAATGAAGCCCTCTTTTATACTTCTGTGTAGTGTTTCCATTCTCTTTTTTTCTGTGTGTTTATGTGTTGGGAATTCAATGCAGGGCCTCAAAGGTGCTAAGCACATTCTTTATCACTGAGTATTACCTATCTCTAGCCCCAAATATTTACTGGTTTCCTTCCTGGTTTTATTATACAAGAATGTATGTGCACACATATACACATGTATACATATATTATGCATACACATACATATTATATGTTAGTGTTTTAGAAATTAAAAAATAACTTACTTCGTTTTTCTATATTACTAGTCTAAGGTGCAAAACTATTGAAAGAATAGGAAAGAGCTCTTTAAAATTTTTATATTAAACATGTTAAAGATTTAGTCAATAAAAAAATCAATAAAACATGGTAAAAATAATCAAAGGTAATCACAGTTAACATTAGAAAAATTTTAAACCTGCTTTGTCTTCTTTAGAACCTACTGCAAGCATCTCTTGAACAAAGAATGGTTACAAAGATTTTTACTTTTATTCTCCCCAACTCTTTTGGATAGATTGTTTTCAGCGTTTTTGTTTTACTACCATAAACAATACTGGATTAATATTCTCACTGTAAAATCTTTATGAAGAACCATGATTACTTCCTTGGGATATATTCTTATAAGTGGAATATCTAGGTCAAAGAATATGTTTTAAAAGCTATTATTTCCTGTTGCCAAGTTTACTTTCCAATGTACATTCCTACCAGCAAGGTTTCAGTTATGCCCTTCTCCATATTTCTACCAAATTTCTTCTGTGGTTTCCAGTTTTAAAAGATGAACAGTTATCTTTATTTTGTATTTTTCTGCAACATTTTTGGCTATTTGCATTTTTTATGATTGCCCGTTTTGTTTTTAAATTGGTAATTAATTTTTCTTATAATAATGTATAATTCTTATGAAAAATCTGAGAAATAGAGAAAAGGTTAAAGCATTTTCCTAAATTCTACTTCCTTACCATTAAGATAATTACTGGTAGCTGGGCAAGGTGGTACATTCCTGTTATCTCAGCTACTTGGGAGACTGAGGCAGGAGGATCTCAAGTTTGAGACCAGCCTGGGCAACTTAATGAGACCCTATTTCCCAAAAAAAAGAAAAAAAAAAAGGGCTGAGGATGTAGTTCAGTGGTTATGCTCTTGGGTTCAATCCCTAGTACCACCAAAAATCAAAATAAAAACAATTAAGCGTCACTTATTCTTGGGTAGCTTTTACTTTTTATTGCTATTGAGATTGTAATTGTATTCTTGGATTTTGTATTCTTTTTATTGCTATTGAGATTGTAATTGTATTCTTGGACTTTTTTTTAGTAGTTCCATCCACAATTTATTGAATTATAAATCAGATTAAATGATTTTTGATTTCTGTAAAATAATTGGCCATTTTTAATTCTCTCTTTTTTAATAGTGATATCACCTGGAAATAACATTTGTCTTTTTTTAAAATATTTTTTTAGTTGTAGTTGGACATATCACCTTTATTTCACTTATTTTTTTTTTTAATATGGTGCTGAGGATTGAACCCAGGGTCTCGCACGTGGGAGGCAAGCACCCTACTGCTGAGCCACAACCTCAGTCCCACATTTGTCTTTCTTTGAAGACAGGTATACTTCTAATTTTTTTTTTTTTTATGTGCCAGTGGAACAGGTTTAATTTATAGAACGGTGTTAAAGAAGAGTTGCAAATAGGGCAATATAGGAACGCCTTGTATAATGTTGTTGGCTATTCATCTGAGATTTTTAAAAATCATGTGAAAAATATTTAGTAGTTAACTAGTTCAGTACGACTAGTTTTAAAAGTTAAGAATCAAGGGCTGGGGATATAGCTCAATCAGTAGAGTGCTTGCATGCACAAGGCCCTGGGTTCAGTCCCCAGCACCATAAAAAAAAAAAAGTTAAGAATTGATAAAGATTTGGCCCTTAAAATATACTAGAGTTTAAAAAAAAAAATCAAAGCACAACAATGTGTGTGTGTACTTACGATGACAGATGCTCATCAGGAACTGTAAAATGGGAATAGAAAAAAAAGTTAATTATGTTATACTAGTGACCACAGACACAAAAAATCTTTTGACTACCATCAAAAAGACTTACAAATGACAAACTGAACCTATGTATATAATTTTGTTCCTTCCCTAAATCCGCCTAAAACAGTAAAAAAACCCATAAACTCCCAAGAATGAGAAAGGCAGGAAGAAACAACACTAAGATAAACTGGAAGTAGATAGAAGAGTGAAAAATAATTCACAAGATCTGAAAAAACTGAATCCTAGGCTAGCAGTGGGGGAGAGTCAAGCACCAACCTGATTTAATTACAGAATCCAATACTTCTCCTCTACCTTACTCCCCTCAATCCCCCACCAAAAAAAGAAATTCTCAAAATTGGTAGTACCAGATTTTTCTGGAGGCTAGTATCAATCAGGGACATTAAGATAACAAAAAGTCTACGGCTGGGGTTGTGGCTCAGCGGTAGAGCGCTTGCCTGGCACATGTGGGGCCCCGAGTTTGATCCTCCTCAACACCACATATAAATCAATAAAATAAAGGTATAAATATATATGTTTAAGAAGTAATCTACGGCGTAGCTATAGATGGCTGCTGTCTTTGCGCTCTGACAAAAGACTAGGTTCATTTTCTGGAGAGATTCAAACATACGCTATCTGAACTAGAGGAAAATTCCAGGTACATACAATGGAGCTAAGGTGTCACATTAAAAACAGGGGACCTCATGCTCTCTTCCTCAATATGGCTCTTGTAATACAATCAGGCTTTACCCTTTGGGCAGTCTTTCCTGGGGACTCTGACCAAGCCAAGAGGAATGACACTGGAATGTTTTCCCCAACTAGCCTAGTAAAAACAATTACAATGACATTAACCATCCATAAGCTCTTCTATATCCGGAGTCTTCACACTTAAACATTCTAAACAACTAAGAATTACTGGGAAACAAAGGAAAAAAGAGAACAAAACAAACAGAAGCAAACTAATTAGAGAAAAAACTTCGAAGAGAAAATATTTCAAACACCTATCAATATTATCAGAGAAAAAAACAAGCAAAGCAACTGTAAAACAGGCACAAGATATAATAAAGGGATCTTCAGGGGAAAAAATTGTAAATATGACAGCAGAAATTTTATAAAAAGGAATTTGAAAGATTCAGTTAAAGAAAGTTCCTAGGAAGTGGAGAAAATTTAAAAAATGAAATATATGAGAAATTGTACATCACTCAAAGGAACAATAAAGGGCATTCAGTAACTGAATAATGGAAACACTAGGAAAAAACAAAACTTGTCAATCCAATTTGAAAATTTTCCAGAATTGAAGGATATGAATTCCTAGTCTGAAAGGGGCCACTGAGTGCCCACATGGTAGAGTGAAAAATAAAAAATAATTCTCATCAGAAGATTCTAAAAAACTGGTCATAAAAGAGAAGATACAGTTGAGCTTCCAAATCCATAGATTTTATATGGTTCCATATTTCAACCAGCCTTGGATTAAAAACAAAACCAAAACAAACAACAAATTTGGAAAAATATTCTCTGTGCCTGTACCTGAACATGTAGATTTTTTTCTTATCTTTATTCCCTAAGCAATACATTATAACTACTACTTATGTAGCATTTACATGTACCAAACATTATGAGTAATTGAGAGATGATTTAAAGTTTATGGGAGGATGTGTATAGGTTATATGCTATTTTAAATAAAGAACTTGAGCATTGGTGATGTCCACAGGAGGTCCTGCAACCAATCCTCTAATGATACTGAGGAACAAGTGTGATTCAACTTCCAGAAAAATAAAAGCCACATAAAAAAATCAGGAGAAACACTAGAAGATAGAAGATAGCATAATAATGCTTTCAGATGTCTCAAGAAATATTATTTCCAACATATAATTTAACACTTAGCCAACCTATCAATTAAGTATGAGTACAGAAAAACTTTCAGACATGCTAAGCTTTAAAAAGTACATCTCACACCCTTTCATCCCCTTCTTCACGAAGCTACAAGAGCTTATGCTCCATAAAATAAGGTAGAAAACCAAGAAAAGAAAATTGTAGGATATACTAAATATAAGGCCCAACACAGGTAAAGAGAATTCCCAGGATAATAATGGTGAAGGGAGATCTCAGGAGACAGATGAGATCAGCCAATTCATATTAGACAAGTCAGAACGCTCTAGGAGAGATTTCTTCAGAAAAATGAAATTGATGAACACCTTTTTCATTTGAACATGTTGAGTAGAGATTTAGAACACTGATAGAATGTGGGGTTGAATTATGGATAAATACACAGAAAACTAAACAAACCAAGACAACTGCAACTCCAGGGGAACCAAAAAGTAACACAGGAAATGTAATCTTAATTTCCTACATGGCTCAGCTACAACTAGTTTACATATCCTTACACAAGCTTTGAATCTTTATTTAAAACTATTAGCACTGAAGAATGGGGGTTAAGGAAGTTTCTAAGACTAAAAAACAAGTCTGCTAAAAAATAAACATGATTAAATGTCAGTGGTCCTTGTATCTCAGCCATGAGTGTCAACAGCACTTACTATGTCCCCTTCAAGATTGTCGACTTAAGGTTTAATCCATTCTGACATACTCCAGTAAAAGTTGATTCCATTTTGAACTCTCAGACGGTTCAAGCTTAGACAAGAAACACTGAACTGACAATACATTAGCTTTCCCCCCATCCTTTCTGGAATCAGGACGTTTAACCCTCAGTAAATTCTGACTGAAATGAGAAAACAAAAGTTGCTTTACTTTTCTCAGTCTTTTAAAAACAGTAATGCAAAATAACCCATATTGAAGCACACAAAAGCCATGCAAGTACATAAGCAATGGCAGTCTTGAAACCTAATTTGGCTTTTGTTTATAGAGTGGCCATCTTTACACTGGAAGAGTAGTTCAAATAGTCCATACATTTTGATTTGAAATATCCTTTTTTTAAATTTGTAATGCTGAGATAATCTTGGCTCCGTGATATTAGTGACATAGGCATAAAGCACCCTCTGCTGGTCCCTGGAAGAAAGACTTTTAGAGCATCCAGATTTACTCCAGAAATTAGCATATGCATTTGGGTTTGTGACCTTAAGGTATTTACTTTCTGAACAAAGTATATGAAGAGTTTTTAAAGTTAACATTAGGACTTGAGAAAAATTATGTTTTAAAATTCAGAGTTTCGAAATTCAGAGCTTTTCCATTACTCACTATAGGATTCTGTCCTTTCAACCTCCCAAGCCCCTCTCACGCGTACTCAACGCTTGTCCCAGAGCTTCTGTCCTCATTGGCCTGTTCGCTCCCGGCGGGAGGAGTGCCACCACCTGCACTGTTCCTTAAATATCTGTTAAATGGATCTGACTTTTATGACCGAAATGTTTCTATTTAATTTTATTTTTTCCACGAGCCTGGAGTTTAGAGATAAGGGAAAAAACTCGAGCAGTTCACAGCGCCCACCCGGGTGGGGCCCGGAACCCTGCGCCCGTGGGCCCTGGCGCCCCCGACCCCCTCGAAGTGTTCCGCGGCCCAAAAAGCAGCCACGCACGGCCTACGACCCGTACTTCGTGCGGTTTCCCTCACTGCCGCGGCCATCTCGCTCAAGAGCTCCTCTACGACCGCGGGTAACGTGACAGCCATGATGCCATAGGTTGCATTCTCTTCAACAAGATCTTAGGCCCCCGAACTCCGATCTGCTACGATAACCTGCGAAGGAATCCCGCCGCCACTAGGGTTGGGGCGAGACCGTGACGTCGGTGTACGTCATCGCGCATGCGGAAAGCAACGATGACGCCTTCTTGGACGTAATGGCCCGACCAATCCGGCGAACCCTTTGCGCAGGGGGCGGGGCGTCCCGGGATCCGACCGGCCTGCAGTGCGCAGAGGACGCGGCGGGAGCATGTACCGGCTCCTGAGCTGGAGCCGGGGTTTAGGCCTCCTGCGGGCCGCGGG